CTCTGTGCCTCTTTTCTCTTTGACAGTCACTGCAGCTGGCTATGCTTGCTTTTTCTATATGACTCTGCCTAAGTATGATAATAAAACACTTCTGGCCATGGCAATCCTCTATAGCTCCAATTATCTGCATCAAACTCTCGGTTACCACTCCACAAGGAGACCATATACAGCCTGCGAACTCAGTAATGTCTAGGACAGACATAACTCAGCAACTTTTGCCTTTCGTGGGCACAAACTGTGATGTCAGCAGGTTTGATGGGTAGAATATTGGCACAGAGCGTACTGGCATTTCAGGAAATAATAAGAGAGTATTTACTTTGACTCTGCCCCAGGGTCTTTTCACCTCCATCAGATCACATCTATTGCAACTGCTGCCTGTCCCTGTGACTCACTGAATCACAGATACTTTAATGCCTGGTTCCAGAACCCTAACCAGAACCATGTTCTTATTTCTTTGTCTCCCAAGGTCCTACCAAACACTAACTCAGTCACTGCCCTCCAAATGACTCTTGGGATTTTGATTCTCTAGTACACTAATCACCAAATATCTTCTATGTCGGGCTACCTTTCCCAGTGAAAAAGAAGTTAGAATAGGTGGGCAGTGGACAGTAGTTACTAGCTGGTCCCTGACTGTAACAGAATGATCACTCATGCTGTACATGAGTTTCATTCAGGAGGTTAGATCTTTACCCACTATGATATATTCACTGCATCTGGGTGTAAGTAGTGTCAGGATCAAGAAGTGACTCTGACTCTCTAAATAGTCCTGATACTGAAATTCATCTAGTGTGTTTCTTTTTCAAATTGGCTTCCAATATTTGAGGCTTCAATTGCAGCCCATGTTTAAGTAGGTACTTCCCAGGGCACATCTTCTGAGTGTCAAACAAATTCCCCTCATTGACTTTAGTTAATCATGATGGATCTCTTACAGCTCTTTAAGGCCAGTTTACTTCTTTCTGAATTAACACCAGTGGCCATGTAGCACCCTTCTCAAAGATGTACTAGCTCTAAAAATATCTCTTTGAGTTTATAGGTTCTGATAATCCTAATCTCTTCCTTTTATTCACTCAGTTCTAGGAATGGTAATTGTTTCCTGCAACTATTGCCTCCATGTTGATCCAATGTTGGTTTTTCTAGTCCTTACACACCAGATTTATCAATTCTTTATAATCACTTCTTTGTTAAAATAGTACATTTTCTCAATTCTGAATGATACAGGATTGTGAAAAGCCAATGGATAGTGTGATCTCAAAAACATGTCATCATACACATCATATACATGCTGGGATTAGATAAAGTGAAACTGAGACCTGAACTAAATTTCTAAAATTAATTGAAATAAATAAGAGATGGGCAAAAGGAGGGTGTCCCAAGCAGAAGAAAGAACATATGCAAGGTTATGTGGAAATGAGAGAGCCCAACAGATCTGAAAAAATGGAGTGGTTTCTGTGGGGCTGGAAAGATCGGATATGACAGATCAGAGGAGTTTGTATGACAGAACGAAAAGCTAGTAAAACTTGTTTGCTAATTAGAATTGAGCAATAGATTAGGTAAAGAAAGAAGGAGTCTTGCCTATGTGGGGTGGAAGAACAGGTTTGGGGTGAAGGTAGTAAAGTAGTAAATATTTTACCACTAGTCAACTTACATTAGAGGCACTAGAAGTGTAGCCAAATGGTAGAGTACTTGCCTGGCACGTGATGACCTGGGTTCAACACACACACACACACACACACACACACACACACACACACATACAGCTAGGAGCTAACAAAATTACAGGTCATGTATCATTCTACAATTTCCTAGCTTTATGATTTTAATTACTGAACAATTCTGACAGGTTTTTTGCCAAATAAATGGGGATAACAAAGGATAACTCCCTCCATTGTGCTCCTGTTGTGCCAACAATAGGAATGAGATAGCTCTGAGTGATATAAAGTTTTATACTAGACGCTTTACACAAAATTTTCATTGGATTACCATATTTTAAATTTAAGTAAATACAAACATTATTATTGATACAGCGAGGCCTTTTGGGGTCTAATTAATGGAAGGACAATTAAAAAACTGATGTCACACATAACATGGATAAATTTCACAAAATTATTTCTGAGCATGTCTGTATTTTACCTAAGTACTCAGAACTAGAAATAGCTGTGTCTTCTCAGTAAATATTTAATCTCTGAAATTACTGTCCTGCCCCGCTCCCTCACTCACCCACAAGCAGCCTCTTAAGTCTTTTATTTGTAACCCAGCCTCATTCTTTTCAACCATGACAACTTCACCTGCCCTTAGATGTTAATTTGTAAACCTACACAAAGCTGTCTCTGCAACTAAAGATGGCCTTCATCATGATTCTCATTCCTGTATGTAAAGCAAAAGAAAACAATTTGCCCCTATCTTAAACATTTAAGGTTATACTCTATCCAGAAAGGTACACTCAAACTTGTATCCAAGGTAAAATTTGGCTTTTAGAAAATAAAAAGAGGCAAGGGAGAAGAAATCCCTGGAAAATAAGCAATTTAGACACTCTTGTGACTTGGCATCAGATGTCTTTATAGTGGAATCACAGCTCTGTCCCCCCAGAAAAGTAATATAACTTCTCTGAGTGAAATTTTTCATAAAACACAAGAATTGTGGTAGTTTGACAAATACTACATCAAATCCATTTGATGTAATACTTATATTTTATAAAATACTTTAAAAGTTAATACTTTCATAATAATGTTTACTTTTGTTTTATTTACATTAGCGGTAACAATTTATGTTAAATGATATTAATTTTAAATTTTAAAAAATATTAATGCATATTAATTGTACATGTTAATGGGGCACAGCGTGCTATTACCATACAGGCAGAGAGCATACATTGACCATACACAGCACGCTTCTCTTCCTACCCATCCCACTGGAAACCATTGTAGTAATATAAAGCTTTATTTTAAATGATTGATTTAAGTTTAAATAAGTGATTCAATTTTAACAGAGTTGATAAGCAAACAGGATAAAAGCATCTCCAAAGTGACAGACAAATAACTGAGATCTAATAAATGCCAACTTATGTTACAGTCTAAAAAGAACGGTGTTAGTCATCAGATAGTATGTGACAGGAATATTAATCTTAAGTGTTAACTATCTAATACATCAGAGCTTCTTAGAAAGATCTCAATAACTAAAAGATAGAAGTCACACAAAGGTTACCTATAGAAAAAAATATCAATTCTAAAATCTATATAAAACCAAAGGAGACCCAGAAGCGCCCAAGTAATCCCCAGCAAAAACGACTAGGGAGGAGACACACTGAACAATGGAATGAAATGCAGAAATAGAATTGAGGATGCAGAAAAGTACTTCATGCTCCATAAGCCAACTGATATTTGACAATGTGGCCAAATTCTTATGCTGAAGAAAAGACAGCTTGATAAAAAATGGTGTTGGGAAAAATCATTATCTATATACAAGAGAATAGACACATATCTCTTATGTTGTACAAAAATCAAATCAAAATACATAAAACCTATCTATAAAAGCTGAAATATTGAATCTGCTGGAAGATAAAATAGGTAATACTCTTCAAGATAGGCAAGGGTTTTTAGAACACAGATCCAATTACATAATAAATAATTCCAAAAAGCAACAAATTGAATTATATCAAAATACCCACATTGTGCACAATGAAGGAAACATTTCTCCAACAGAGTGGAGAAACAACGTACAGAATGTGCAAAATATTTGCTAGCTACACCTTGGACAGAGTCCTAATATCTAGAATATACAAAGAATAAAAAAAAAAAACCTTAGATCCCGCTAAATAAAAGATTCAATCAAAAAATGACAACTGAGATGAATACATATTTATCAAAAGAAGAAAGAGAAATGACCAATAAGTATATGAAACTATATGTTTAGCAACTTTGTCCATTGGAGGAATGCAAATCAAATCACACTGAAATACACCTCACTCCATGAAGAATGACCGTCATCAAGCACTCAAACTACAACAAATGTTGGGGGAGTTGTGGAGAAAAATAAACCCTTCCACATTGTTTGTGGGAGTATTAACTAGTACAATCACTATGGAAATTCTTCAAAAAAGTAAACGTCCAAATTCCGTTTGACTCAGAAACACCTCTTCTGGGTATCATTCTGAAAGAGTTAAAGTCATCATACTACAGTGATATATGCATATCCATAATTATAGTAGCACAATTCACAAAAGTTAAATTATGGGAGAGGCCTATATATTCATCAACAAAAGAATGGATAAAGAAAATATGGTATATATAGACAATGCTGTACAAGTCATCAATGAAGAATGATATATTTGAGTCTTTTGTAGGAAAATAGATGCACCTTGAGACTATAATTCAGATGCAGGAAGTTAAATATTCCAATATTTCTTTTACCCAAGCAAGCAAAAAGGTAAATAAAGAACAAAATGAAAGAAATGATAGGAAACAAGGAGGTGGAATATGCAGTGATGTGAAGATCTGGGAAAGAGGGTACAAGTGATAGAAGGGAAGGGAACAGAGGAGTAAAAAGGATCAAGATTTGATGTACCACTTTACCAAGATGAGGATAATTACCGTGTATCACAAATATATACTCCTAATAAATAAAATGTAAAACAGAAAACAATATCTCCTATAGTACAAATAACTACATACATTTTAAAGTTTGTTTACCTGTAGAGAGCTAAGGTATATTTCTTCTGCTATTAAGTCAATAAGCATTTAATGATATCTGCCATGTTTCAGTTCTTGTTTTGATGTTAGATATACGAAAACCAGTGAAATTTACTTGTTGCCATTAAGGATGTTACAGTCAGTGAAGGGACTGGATATATATATATATATATATATGGCTGAAAGTGCTGAATTAGAAATCAGAGCAGGCCTCAGCGAAAACTCAAAGGTAGCATGCTGGGGAAGACAAGTTCAGGAAATATTTTAAGGTAGCCTGGCCCTCAGAAATAACTCCTTGAGTGTGGAAATACTCACCTGTGCTTGACAATTCCATTGACCATTTGGTTTACATCCTTAATTCTGTTGATATAAGCTTGCACAACATCTATACATTTCACCTGCAGAATACAATAATTTCCTCAGTTAGCAATTATTTAATGAGAAATTCATCCATTCAACAAATATTTATTGGAAGACTTATTTGTGGATTAATATTTTTTAACTCAAAACATTTTTAGTGAATTATTCAGTGCAGTCCTCTGTGAGACAACATATGATGATGAGAGAATAAAAATATCATTTTAAAGGAAAGAAGTTAGGATTATCCTATAATCATTCCTTTTCCAAATAATGAATAGGAATGAAAGACAAACTCACCTCTAAGTAAACAGAAGTTGGAAGTCAGAGATATTATGGATATCTATTGAACTAGAAGTTATTTAGTTCTAGTAAATTACTAGTATGAAGATAAGTATTATATTGTAATAGACTGGAAAATTAAAATTATGCATCATCTCTGAAAACCTCAACTATTGGTAAGTAGAGGAATAATAATACCTTATGGTAAGGTTCCCAGATAAAATATAGAAAAATAAGCTAAATTTGAATTTTGACAAGCAACAAATAATTATTATATTTTCCAATTATTTCATTGGAATAATTATACTAGTATCTATACATTTTTATCTGAAATTTAAATTTAATTTCATGCTTTTGATGTTATACAAAAACCAGTGAAATTTCTTGT